ATTGCTGTGTCTTCTGTCTTTCATAAATATGAAGATTACAGGCATGTCTTGCTACTTCTATTTACACTTGGGGCCCACACTCACTACATTTACCGTTTATTTATACACTCTCACTGAGTGTTTGATAGAGTGAATGGGGGAAATGGTTTTTAATACTTGACGTGTTTGGAGTGTGAGCAAATAACTTTTATGAAGGGTTTTCGGGAAAGGCGGGCCCGGGACTTGAGTCCTGGAGAGGGAATACAGTGCCTCACTCTGAAGGGGGGGTTGTTAATTTTTCATTTTAAAACTGTATGAAAAGCACCCTTCGGCAAGCAGTGAGGGGTGAATGGGGGGAAAAGTTTTTCTTTTTGGGGCCACCCTCCTTTGGGGGGATCGGCCGGTGGGGATAATAAATAAATAATAAATAGTTCTTAGTCTTATTACTTTTCCTTTTATATTCATACGGAAGTGGAATAAGAATCTTTCCTCCATAAGCCATGCGTGTTGTAAAAGTCAACTAAAATGCCGGGAACAATGGTCCAAGTCGGACCGAAACGTCGTCGTAAGCTTCTCTCTTTTATGTGCGGGTTATTTGTGTATTGTTCCAGTCATGGTATTGTGCCTTTTTGTTATTTATTTATAGTGTAAACATGTTATGAGAATTTTTATATGCTTTTGAAAGTGAAAAAAAAACTTTTAAGGGCTATAATTCACGTTACAGCATTAGCCTGGAATCTAACCTGCTCTATAAATGGGACCCTCCTCTCTTAATTGTAGAAGTCCTTTCTTAAACCTTTGACATTTTCAGCCGTATATATACTCAATTCTAGCAGCTGCCACTCAAGCAGGAGAAAGCTGGTAGGCCCACATGTGAGAGAATGGGTCTGTGTGGTCAGTGTGCACCACATAAAAAAAATCCTACAGCACGCAATGCATAATGAGAAAAAAAAAAATCCAACCGTGTTTTTAGATTAAAACACCGACTTTGAGATGTATTTTCCTATAGTTACCTGGAGGTTACCTGGAGGTTATTCTGGGGATCAACGCCCCCGCGGCCCGGTCCATGACCAGGCCTCCCGATGGATCAGGGCCTGATCAACTAGGCTGTTACTGCTGGCCGCACGCAGTCCAACGTACGAGCCACACCCCGGCTGATCCGGCACTGATTTTAGGAAATCTGCCACTCTCTCTTGAAGGCAGCCAGGGGTTTATTGGCAATTCCCCTAATGCTTGATGGGAGGCTGTTAAACAGTTTTGGGCCCCGGACACTTATGGTGTTTTCCCTTAGTGTACCAATGGCGCCCCTACTTTTTATTGGGGGCATTTTGCATCGCCTGCCAGTCTTTTACTTTTGTAGGAGTGATTTCTGTGTGCAGATTTGGACCATTCCTTCCAAGATTTTCCAAGTGTAGATTATGATATATCTCTCCCCCCTGTGTTCCAAAGAGTAAAGTCCAAGTGCTTCCAAGCGTTCCCAGTAGTTTAAAGGGGCTTGACAGAACTTACACGTGCAGTAAAGGATCTCGTACACTCTCTAGATCTGCGATTTCACTTTCTTTGAATGGAGAATGTTAATGTACAGCATATTCCAGCCTAGAGAGAAAAAGGTGATTTGAAAAAGGATCATCATGGGCTTGGCATCCCCTCGTTTGAAAGTTCTCATTATCCATCCTATAATTTTCTTTGCACGTGCGATCGTGGCACTGTTGTGATCCTTGAAAGTGAGATCCTCAGACATTACTACTCCCAGGTCCCTTACATTAGTTTTCCGCTCTATTGTATGGCCGGAGTCAGTAGTATACTCTGTTCTAGTTATTATCTCCTCCAGTTTTCCATAACGGAGTAGTTGGAATTTGTCCTCATTGAACATCACATTGTTTACCGTTGCCCACTGGAAAACTTTGTTTATATCTTCTTGGAGATTAACCGCGTCCTCAGCAGATGACAGCCTCATGCAGATCCTAGTATCATCCGCAAAGGATGATACGGTGCTGTGGTGTATATCTCTGTTTATGTCTGATATGAGGATAAGGAATAAGATGGGGGCGAGTATTGTGCCTTGTGGAACAGAGCTCTTCACTATGGCAGCCTCCGATTTAACTCTGTTGACCACTACTCTTTGTGTTCGATTTGTTAGGAAGTTGAAGATCCATCTCCCCACTTTCCCAGTTATTCTTTTAGCACGTATTTTATGGGCTATTACGCCATGATCGCATTTGTCAAATGCTTTTGCAAAGTCTGTGTATATTACATCTGCATTCTGATTCTCATTCTGTATTCTCATTTTCTTGGTCTCATTTGATAGAATGGAAAACATATTACAGAAATAGAGATGGTAATGATTAATTTCATGATGAAAACGACCTTGAAATTGAGCTCAAAGTAGCGGAAATGTTCGATTTTTACCAATGTTCAAGAGGAAGCATATCACACCACATCTCCAGTACACGTCATCTGAAGAGTCTGATATTCTTTCACTAGTACACTGATATTATTTATACCATTTTTACAATAATGCAGTAGTCTGCATAACAGTAAATCTTCTGTTTTTTGTGTGAATAAAAAATCAAAATAGGAAGCAAAATAATAAGAGGGGCCAGGAGACATGACTAATGAACAGAGGATATGTTATTTTAGTGCCAAGAATGTCTGCATTGTTTATTCTGGACCCTATTTTGAAATTGGCATCTTTTTCAATTTGTGTGAAATTGGCCAAATTGCCAATTTCTGACCACTTTATTGGGTAGTTGAAATCGGTAAATGGGTGGTTTCTTGTACTCAGTTGATAGAAAAAATGGAGTACTAAAGAAATAGCTATGAGTTTGGTCGACTGGAAACAATGGAATTGGCTGAAAATAGGGCTCAAAATCGTCGAAATCGCCCGATGTGTATATATTGCCGAGATTGCTAACTTCGCAGGAGCGTAATTCCTTAAGTTTTCGATCAGATTTCGTACTTTTGGTGTTATTACCATCGGGAAAAGATTCTCTAGCATTTCATAAGATTTTTTTTCAAAAAAAAATTTCAACACCAGGAGACACTTCAGGATTTGGGGTTGCGACAGTCAAAGGGTTAAAATATGTACCACCTTAGGTGTCATGGGGATGTAATATTACATTTATATAAAATATATAAAGCACTTTTGATATAGTATACACAGTGGTGTGGGTTAAAGGGTTACAACAGTAATATTAATGATGTTTATGTAATTTGAAACTTGAATCATTTCCTGTATTCTAGGAGAACCAAACTCCCTTACATGTTGCTAGTGGTCGAGGACATGTAGAGTGTGTTCGGGGATTGGTTGGTGCAGGAGCATGTGTTGATGCTCAAGATGCACATGGTGCCACCCCACTTCATCATGCATTGGCTCGGCACCACACTCAGGCTGCCATGATCCTTCTCCATGCTGGTGCCAACACAGATATAACAGATGATGTAAGTTATTGTTAGGAATGTGTGAGGGATGTATTATTTACAGTTCTGTATAATACACCATATTGTTTGTATCAACCTTCTGCTTTACCATTGCTATTGAAGAGTGCTAATTATCAACTATTTGCTTTATAATTGCAGTGTGTAGAGCTACAAATGACTTTAGGAAATACAGAACACAGGTAGAGAATAATTATTTTGTTAGCCTGTAAAAAATTGTGTGCTTGATTTACTTGACTACTGCATCACACAAAATAAACAACTACTGCTAAAAGTTATTTTTCTGGAAGCCTGTTAAGCTTTTACAAAAAGAGTAGTATTGCTGGCTTTTCTGTTTCATGAACATAAAGGTGCCAGGGCAATTTTAACTCCAGCTTTCATTATATGCTATCCTTTACTTTCATGTTTCTTGAATCAGCTTCTCAGATCTGTAAATTGTAATTCCTATTTCCTGGGGAATGTGAGTTAAAAACCTTTCATTTATAGCCATGCTATCACAGGAGGAGACCAAATTGCCGGACAAAGGGCTGGTTTTCCTAGCCAAAATTGATGACTAAAAAGAAATATGAAATCTTCCATAGTTTTCTTGAGTGTGCTTAGATGTAGAGCAGATGTTAGGAAAATATGCTTGTGTTTTAAATGAAAGGAAACTGCATCTTAGCAAGGTTAAAGGAGTGGCAGAGTTTGAGTTGGAAAGTGTTAAGGGTATTACGTTAAGTTTATCTGAACAAATAAGAGCTAAAAAAAAGTTAAGTTTCACTGATTGGTTTGAAGAGTAGAGTAAAACTTCAGTTTAGTGACTTAGATTTAACGGACAGAATCCAGACAACAGATGGTCCATTATTTCCAGAATTGTGCCTAACTATTACTCTCCATCGAGTAGATTGATTTTGGAAATGATGGATTTAATGGACGTTCGGTATTACCTGACACTCCTACTTTATTAGTCTATTAAATCAAGTTTTTGCTCATAAACCTTAGAATTAGTGAACTTATGGTAGGGGAGTGGATGTTTAGTAAGGCAGTTGTGGTGGACAGAGATGAGATTGTTTTGTTGTAATTATAATAATAATGGACAGGTCGTAATCAACAGACTGTTTTTCCTGAATCAAGTGACTCTATGAAATTTGTCTCTTGTATCCTAAGTCCATTAAATTGATGGCTTTCTGTATATTAAGTATTGCAGCCAGTTTCCCTATGTCTGATCAATTAGGTTATTAGATCCATTAGGCTGATATGGGTATAACAACCTGACCAAGCTGTCTGTCTGACTATGCAAGTGGATACAAGGTTGTGGGATAGGCTGATATCTGATCACAACTTAGTGGCATGTAGAATAATTTCAAGAGAAAAGTGGCATACATGAAGTGTATAAGTAGGTAAAAATAGGTGAAAGTGACTAACTTAAAGAGGAAAAGTTGTCAGGAAGAGGTACAAGCAAGGTTGGCTAGTGTGAAAGTGATGAGAATGTTGAACAGATTGTCATTTTAGGAATGTACTGTAGTGTACTGTAGTTCAAAGAAGAGAAAAAATGAAGGAATAAGTTTAGTCTTGTAAATGAATTTTGTTGAGAATGTATTGGCAAAGGGTTATTAAATTGATGAAACCTTTACTGCAACATTTTGTCTACGACTGGAATTTTTCAAACAAGTGGATATTTCTGTGAGAGTGAAAGTAATGAGATATTGAATAAGGATGTAGAGGGCTTGAAGACATGGAGAAAACCATTGAGATTAAGCAGTAAAAAAGTTGAAAGTAGAAAAAGCAGTAAGGTTCATTATAAAAATAAATGACAAAGTGTTTCAGTGATTTGTGCCTTTGTTGAGTGCATGTTTGAAAGAGGGAAAGGCACTGAAGGATGGACAAGGAGCATGTGGGATTCCTTTTTGTAAAGCAGAAAGGAATTAAAGAGAATGTTTGAATGAAAGCATAATAAGTATATTAAGTACTATGCAGGGTCTATTATGTATTTGGTAGAATTGTGATTGACTCAGAAATGATTTGACAAAGAGAATGAGTGGGAGTGTGTGTGAATGAGAGTGAGAGAGAGGGTGTGTATATGTGGGGGGGGGTATTTGTGTACAGTTACATTGTATGTACAGTATGTCTATATATATATATTATTTTCACTTTATTTTTCATTTATAATTTTATTAAAATTTCACCTGGAACCACATTGATGAAACCCATTTTATTGAATTGTATTATATTTGTAATTATTTTGTTCACCTCTGTATAATTTTGCAATTTAATAACCTGCTCTTCAACATAAAAAATTTGTACTTGCTTCTCTTGTAAAAAGATGTTGGGCAGTATTCACTTAGCTGAAATATGTAAATTTCCATTTTACAGATAGGGGAGGCTCCTATACACATAGTAGCAAGAGAGGGCTTGCTGGCTTTAGCTCAAACCCTTTGTGCCTTTGGATGTAGTGTTGATGTTTCCAACAAGGCAGGTCTTTACCCTTTGCATCTAGCAGCCAAACATGGACATACAGAGTTAGTGAGGTGAGTCTGCTTCTTTGTGACCTCTGCCTTAGAATTATTTATATAAATATGTAAATGAATGCAGTGGTAAAAATATACATTGGGATTAGTGTATTAATATCTTAGCAGTTTGACCTGTGATGAAATTCTGACATCCATTATATGAATCTTAATAGGAATTGTCCTTTGCTGCATAGTTGTTACAAAGTCTCTGCCAGTCACCCTGTGTATTACTGTTTATCAACTTTAAACAAACATAAGCAGAGAATTAAAATGTTTGAGAGGCAATGACATCTAGGGACCTATAAAATTTATGGGGCTAACAGTTTTTGGTTTATAATCTCCTCATTTGTAGTAAAGCTCTGCTTTTTTCTTCTATTTTAAAAAGTTTCTGAATGAATTGTGTTAAAATTTTGAATTTCTTTGACTTCACAATGTTTATGAGGGTTGAAATTATTGGTACATTTGTTCAGTATGTTTATGAATGAGGGGGAAAGTGCCTGAGGATTTGCAAAAAGTGTGTGTGGTGGTGATGTTGTGGTTTAACCCTTAAACTGTCCAAGCAGATCTACGTTTGCATGCGTAGTGTTCCAAAAGTAGATCTACGTTTTTTTTTTTACATATTTTCAATTTTTTTTTTTTTTTTTCAACAAGTCGGCCGTCTCCCACCTAGGCAGGGTGACCCAAAAAAGAAAGAAAATCCCCAAAAAGAAAATACTCTCATCATCATTCAACACTTTCACCACACTCGCACATTATCACTGTTTTTGCCGAGGTGCTCAGAATACAATAGTTTAGAAGCATATACAGTGGACCCTTAACCAGTGATGGCATCGATTAACGATAAATCTGACTAGCGATACATTTAAATGCAAAAATTTTGCCTCAACTAGCGCTTAAAAACCCGACCAGCGCTATTCGTTCCGTACCATACGCGTCATCTTTGGCCTGAGCGAGCCTCACTTGTCCCTTGGGTGTCAGTGTTTACAAGCCAGCCAGCCACCGCGGTCGCTTCCAAACTTACAACAACTGGAACATTTCATATTATCACAGCCTTTGTAGTGATTGCACCTGCAAAATAAGTCACCATGGGCCCCAAGAAAGCTTCTAGTGCCAACCCTACAGCAAAAAGGGTGAGAATTACTATGGAGATGAAGAAAGAGATCATTGCTAAGTATGAAAGTGGAGTGCGTGTCTCTGAGCTGGTCAGGTTGTATAATAAACCCCAATCAACCATCGCTACTATTGTGGGTAAGAAAACGGCAATCAAGGAAGCTGTTCTTGCTAAAGGTGCAGCTGCTGCTGCACCACAGTCAGCTGTTGTTGTTGCTGCACCACCATCAGCTGTATTACTCGAAGATGTGGAGAGAGTGTTGTTGGTGTGGCTTAACGTGAAACAATTACCGAGAAACGATTAACCCCGGAGGGTTAGCCACCCAGGATAACCCAAGAAAGTCAGTGCATCATCGAGGACTGTCTAACTTATTCCATTGGGGGTCCTTAATCTTGTCCCCCAGGATGCGACCCACAACAGTTGACTAACACCCAGGTGAACAGGAAAAAATGCCTGGAACTAGTGCTCATATTGGTGAGGTTAGTGGGGAGGATGTGGAAGAGTTGGTGGAGGAGGACAATGAAGAACAAACCACTGATGAGCTGCTAGATCATCTTCAACAGTAAGAGGCCACACCTGAGGAAACTGCTTCGGAGGAGGGGAGAGAGAAATTGAAGAAGTTGCCTACTTCAAAGATTAAGGAAATGTGTGCAGTGTGGCTTAAAGTGCAAACCTTTTTTGATGAAAATCACCCTCACACAGCTATTGCAAGCCGTGCTGGTGACTATTACACTGACAATGTTGTGAAACACTTTAGGATAAAGGAACGAGAGGTACAGGCCTCTATGGACAGATATGTTGTGCGACAGAAGTCCAGTGACTCTGAAGCTGGTCCTAGTGGCATTAAAAGAACAAGGGAAGTAACCCCAGGAAAAGACTTGCTGCCTCAAGTGCTAATGGAAGGGGATTTCCCTTCTAAACACTAAGACTCTCTCCTCTCATCCCATCAATCATCACCAGATCTTCAATAAAAGTAAGTGTCATGTAACTGTGCATGTCTTCTTCAGTTTGTGTGTATTAAAATTAATATTTCATGTGGTAAAAAATTTTTTTTTCAATACTTTGGGGTGTCTTGCACGGATTAATTTGATTTCCATTATTTCTTATGGGGAAAATTAACTTGACTAACGATTATTTTGATTAACGATGAGCTCTCAGGAACGGATTAATATCGCTGGTTGAGGGTCCACTGTACGTATAAAGATACACAACATATCCCTCCAAACTGCCAATATTTTCAAATATATATATATATAAAAAAGTAGATAATTTTTTTTTACACATTTTCAAATGTAAAAAAAAAAAAAAATCTACTTTTTTTACACACTTTCAAATGTTGAAAAGACGTAGATCTACGTTTGGACAGTTTAAGGGTTAATGTCATATGAGTTATAATGTATAAGTAGTAGGTTGGTAGACAGCAACTGCCCAGGGAGGGAGGGAGGTAAAACGAAAGCCTGTAATTGTTTTACATGATGGTAGGATTGCTGGTGTCCTTTTTTCTGTCTCTTAAAAATCCAAGATTTCTGGTACATCTTGCTACTTCTACTTACACTTAGGTCACACTACACATACATGTACAAGCATATATATACACACCCCTCTGGGTTTTCTTCTATTTTCTTTCTGGCTTTTGTTCTTGTTTATTTCCTCTTATCTCCATGGGGAAGTGGAACAGAATTCTTCCTCTGTATGCCATGCATGTTGTAAGAGGCGACTAAAATGTCGGGAGCAAGGGCTTAGTAATCCCTTCTCCTGTATCAATTACTAAATTTAAAAAGAGAAACTTTTGTCTTTCTTTTTGGGCCACCCTGCCTCGGTGAGATATGGCCGGTGTGTTGAAAGAAAGAAGATAAGAGTTATAATGTCTGTGCTCTTCTCCATTTCCTCTTTTGGGTTGCCTACCTTTTTTGGGGAAATGGCAGATATGGTTAGAAAAAGTGTGTTTATTTTGTACAAGGAAATGGGGACAAGAGTGTGTGTAGGAGTTATTGAGAAGTAAGCATTACCTAATTTTTTTTTTTTTTCAACAAACTGGCCGTATCCCACTTAGGCAGAGTGGCCCAAAAAGAAAAACAAAAGTTTATCTTTTTAAATTTAGTAATCTATACAGGAGAACAGATTACTAGCCTACCTCGCTCCCCATTACCTAAGTTTTTTTTTTTTTTTTCAACAAGTCGGCCGTCTCCCACCGAGGCAGGGTGACCCAAAAAAGAAAGAAAATCCCCAAAAAGAAAATACTTTCATCATCATTCAACACTTTCACCACACTCGCACATTATCACTGTTTTTGCAGAGGTGCTCAGAATACAACAGTCTAGAAGCATAAACATATAAAGATACACAACATATCCCTCCAAACTGCCAATATCCCAAACCCCTCCTTTAAAGTGCAGGCATTGTACTTCCCATTTCCAGGACTCAAGTCCGACTATATGAAAATAACCGGTTTCCCTGAATCCCTTCACTAAATATTACCCTGCTCACACTCCAACAGATCGTCAGGTCCCAAGTACCATTCGTCTCCATTCACTCCTATCTAACACGCTCACGCACGCTTGCTGGAAGTCCAAGCCCCTTACCCACAAAACCTCCTTTACCCCCTCTCTCCAACCCTTTCGAGGACGACCCCTACCCCGCCTCCTTCCCCTATAGATTTATATGCTTTCCATGTCATTCTACTGTGATTCATTCTCTCTAAATGACCAAACCACCTCATCAACCCCTCTGACTAATACTTTTATTAACTCCACACCTTCTCCTAATTTCCCACCTCCGAATTTTCTGCATAATATTTACACCACACATTGCCCTTAAACAGGACATCTCCGCTGCCTCCAACCGTTCCTCGCTGCTGCATTTACCACCCAAGCTTCACACCCATATAAGAGTGTTGGTACTACTATACTTTCATACATTCCCTTCTTTGCCTCCATAGATAACGTTTTTTGACTCCACATATACCTCAACGCACCACTCACCTTTTTTCCCTCATCAATTCTATGATTAACCTCATCCTTCATAAATCCATCCGCCGACACATCAACTCCCAAGTATCTGAAAACATTCACTTCTTCCATACTCCTCCTCCCCAATTTGATATCCAATTTTTCTTTATCTAAATCATTTGACACCCTCATCACCTTACTCTTTTCTATGTTCACTTTCAACTTTCTACCTTTACACACATTCCCAAACTCATCCACTAACCTTTGCAATTTTTCTTTAGAATCTCCCATAAGCACAGTATCATCAGCAAAAAGTAACTGTGTCAATTCCCATTTTGAATTTGATTCCCCATAATTTATGATTTATGATTAATAGTAATTGCAGAAGACCAGTAGATTTAGAAACACTAGATTTATGACAGATTTAATTCTAGTAACCCCTTCTCCTATATAAATTACTAAAAATAAGAAGAATAACTTTATAAAGCTAGATGTTTGAATGTGCACGGATGTAGTACAGATGATAAGAGATTATTGCCAATGTTATGAATGCAAAGAAGTTGGATGTTCTAGCTTTAAACAAAACAAAAAGCTGAAGTGGGGAGAAATAAATGGGATTAGATCAGTATTATCCAAGAGAGAGCTAAAAAGGGGCAGCAATAATGTTGAAAGATTCAGTTATGAAAGGAGAAGAGGGACTATAAATGTATAAATTCAAGGATTATGTGGATTAAAATAAAGTCGAATGCAAAAAGTGGGTTATAATAAGTGTTTATGCACTGGAGATGAGAGGAGTGGAGTGTAGAATAGAGAGAGAGATTTTGGGAGATATTAAGCAAGTGTTAGGAAGTTTTGAACCAAGTGAGAGAGTAATTGTGGTAGGGGATCTGAATGCTAAAGTGGGAGAAATGGTTATAGAGGGTATGGTAGGTAAGTTTGGGGTTCCAGGGGTAAATGAT